TTAATGTCATAATGAAAAATTACTGTTATAATGGTCCTAAAAACATGTCTTCATGCAAATTTTAATTTATTTATTTTAGATGAGTTCTGACCTGCTGTATTTGAAAGAAAAGATATATATAAAAAGACTTCATGCTGGCAGTCAACTTTAAATAATTTAAATGCTTTCTTATAGTTTCCTATTTCTCCATTGTATTTTAAGTTAATAATGATTACAGATATTATGCTATTGTTTTCTTGTGCAATAAGTGGTTTTTGCGTCGCCTCGTGTACATAACATCCATTTCTAAATTATTACTTTTTACACACACTTTGATTTAATGAATCTATTTTCTGGTATTTGTACACGTTTGTACCTGTAGGTGACGGTAAATAACATTGTTTTTCTTTTGGTTGGAATAAAAACATTCTCTCGTGCCATTCATAGACGGCTCTCTGTAGAACGTTTTTCTCACGACTGAATCTACTGATGGTTTGGTTTATGAAATCTACCACATGATAAACGATAAACACTGAATTTGTAGCAAGTATATGGATTGATTCTGATTCTTGAAGGTTGAAAAATAGAATTATTTCTTCCATGTTTATGACAGAACAATGAAAGACATTGCTAATACGTTACAATAAAGTTCATTTTTAACTACATCGGTTAACATGAACTAGCAATGATCAATACTTCTACAGCATTTATGAATCTAATTTCAAAATATACAAATCTACTTTTAAAACCAAACGTTTAAAAGCATCTCTTAACGTGAAGTGCAACGTAATCAAAAATCAATAAAAATAATGCATGTGTTTTCAAATCAGAAGTACAAAGCTTAACATTAACATTTCTTAACATTAGTTAACATTAAAAATGTATTTGTTGTTGAAACAATTTTGACTCGCAATAATTACAAAGAAACTTCAAATAAAACATTGACTTAATGGTCAAAGTAGAAAGAATAAAATAGTATAAAAATTAAAAACAAAGGAACAATTCCAGTAATGTTTTCTGTTTACAACTTTACAACTATTTTTACACTAACAATTAATGATACTTTGCAGAATTTATTCATTTCAACATTTATGAATAAATTTTTTAAATCAATTTGAAAAGCTTCTCAACATTAGTTAACCAAATTAGTTAACATTAACTACACTTAAAAAAAAGGTGTTAAAACCATTTTCACTTGCTAGTAAATTTCACAAATAATTACAAAAAAAGCGAGTAACATTCAATAAACAATTCTGAAGTGGAAAGACTAAAATATTTTCTTGTAAAACACTAATATTATTTTTATTTATAACTATTATACTATTTTTAAATGTAACTAATGATACAGAATTTATTGTAACAAACACATTTTTAAATCAAGCATCTGTTCAAATTCATGCATCAACTAACACGAAACTTTTTTTATTATTAATAAGTGCTGCAAAAAAAATATTGCTCGTGTTAGCTAAATATTAATGCTAATAAATGAGACTTTATTGTAAAGTGTTACAGAATTCTATGAAGTGAGAATGGTTTGCCGTTGGTTTTTCTGAAAGTCTGTCTGGAGACACGTGTGTGTGTGTAGATATTCTGTACAGATCATTGTGTCTTTAATTTACATGAGAATTATGAATGAAGAAATAAAAGGTTTCATTCAAATAAACTCTTGGCGTCTCTATTGAAACAAACAAATCACAAACATGTCATTCATTTTGGTTTTATTCAGTGCTGTAAAAATAAATATTTCAAACATATTTAAAGTCATTCTCACACAACGCAAGAGTCTGAGCACCGGTGCATCTCTCACACACACACACACACTAAAATCGACTGCATCTTTAATAAATCGCTGCTCAATTCAAATAAAATCCATCATATATATTCATTAAACCACTCACATTTCACTCTATCATGGAAACAAACAGAATGACTGCCAACAGAAATATGTAAACATTATAATACAAGCAGAATCATTTTACCAAAGAAAAAAAAAAATGCTGGAATCTTTGGAATGTTGAAAAGATCATAAACCTGAAACACTGAAGAACAAGTTTAAATTAGTTTAAAAAGTAACACTTTACAGTAAGGTTCCATTTGCTAACATTATATAACTTCATTAGTTGATATGAACTGACAATACAAATCTTCAAAAAAAAATTAAGATCAAATGTTTTATCTCTTAATATTAATGCACTGAAAACTGAAATAAATACGAAAAAATTCAGTAACATTAATAGAAGTTGTAAGTTGATGTTAGTTAATGTGTTTACTAATGTTAACAAATGAGATCTTACTGTAAAGTGCTACCAAACACAGCTGCACAGGAATTCTGGGTAATTATTATTTTTTGTTTCAAATCAGTCTGTCCTTTATTCTGCTCCAGAAATATTTCTTAACACATAATAAACCCTTCATGTAATAAAAATGAAAAATACTAATTAATAATAATGTTTCTGGATTTTTCAGAGAGCCTCGTCTTCAGAATTCAGATTCTGTTCGGCTCGTCATCGAACATCATTTGTTTTCCAAATAAATCAAACATCTGGAAAAACTAGGAAAACAAACCAAAAAAAAAAAAAAAAGTGATCAAATAAGAAGTTCAAAGGGTTAAACTCATCAAACAAATGAAAGAAATGATATTCTGCATAAACAGAACAAAATCAGAGCTGCTTTAGGAACAATAAGTTTCTCTGCATTCTGACATTATTTTAAGCCAATTTTGTAATGCAAAAAAAAAATCTCTTTTGCTTTTACTGCATTGATGTCTATTTAAGTGATTAAAATGAATATGTAAAAACATATTTTTTACAAAAAACAGCATTACAGAACTACAAATTGTCATGAAAGTAATCTTTCTTCTTTTGATTTTGGGCTGACCTTTGACCTGGATGTGTTTGTGTGACCCTGACCCTCTCAGTATTCCCAGCTGCGCAGTGAGGTCTGCAGCGAGCGCATGTCTTTCAGCAGACGCAGACTGTCTCGACTGCGCTCACCAGGTCTGGCTTTGACCGAGCGACTCCAGACTTTCATCTGTCCTCCGCCGTCGCTCTGCTGAACACACTGTGATGCACACAAACCATCAGATCAGGGAGCGCTTGGCACTAAAACTAGCCGTCAAGAAAGTACAATCTTTTGCTTTTATTGGTCAAAAATACAGTAAAAATAGTGAAATATTATTACAATTTAAAACAGCTGTTTTCTCTGTGAATATCTGTTAAACTGTAATGTATTTCTGTGATGCGCAGCTGTATTTTCAGCATCATTACTCCAGTCTTCAGTGTCACATGATCTTCAGAAATCATTCTAATATGCTGATTTGCTGCTCGAGAAACATTTCTGATTATTAGCAATGTTGAAAACAGTTGTGCTGCTTAAAAAATACACTTTTATTCATCAAGGATGCATTAAATTGCTTAAAAGTGCCAGTAAAGGCATTTATAATGTTACAGTAGATTTCTATTTCAAATAAACGCTGTACTTTAGAACTTTCTATTCATCTGTGAATCCTGAAAAACAAAATGCATCACAGTTTCCACAAAAATATTGTGCATTTTTCAAAACTAATAATCAGAAATGTTTCTTGAGCAGCAAATCAGCATATTATACTGATTTCTGAAGATCATGTGACACTGAAGACTGGAGGAATGATGCTGAAAATACAGCTGCGCATCACAGAAATAAATTACAGTTTAACAGATATTCACATAGAAAACAGCTATTTTAAATTGTAATAATATTTCACAATTTTACTGTATTTTTGATCAAATAAATGCAGTCTTGGTGAGCCGATACTGTACTTCTACCATGAGCTGCTTTTACAGTATACATGTATCTTCAGTTGCATTGTGTTACCTGAGTTTGATGTCGCCGGACTTTAGCGATCTGTTCTGCTTTATTCTCCATCCTCTTCACGAGCGTCTCCATCTCACGCTCCAGATCCCGCCGCAAGCGATCCGAACCACACGACTGGATCCGTTTGGCCAATTCCTGCTGCTCGCTGACACACAAACACAACACACACCGCTTACAGTTACACACACTCATACAGCATCACTGAATCAGCATTCAGCAACAAACACCTGTCTGTTAGAGGAACGGTTCACCTAAAACTAATCTGACTCAGCCTCCTGTTTGTTCCAAACCTGTACACTGTTATTTTCTTATAAGCAACATAAAAGGAGATTTTCGCAGAACCTTTATGTAAATGTTTAATGACTATTATTATGATGCTTTCATGTCATTTTTGGAGCTTGACAGTTTATCGACACTAGCATTGGGAGAAACTAAGCTTTTTGAATCTCTGAATCAATTGAATGAATCGCTTCACAAAATGATTCACTCTTTCAAAGCACTCAAGCTGGCAACATCGCCTCACACAGATCAAATCCAAATGTTGTCATGCATGTGTAATCTATTAAATTCAGTCTGCAAATCATTTCATATCATTAAAATATGGAGTGTGTGAACAATTTGAGTTATTTTATTTATTTACATAAAATAATTATTAACAGAATGTTCATTTTTGGTAAATTGTCCCTTTAACCAAGCATAAAATTTTATTTTAGCATCATTAAAGTAGTGTTTTTATAGTATTTATTAATATTGTCTATTAACTTTTATTTGTATATTTAAGTTTTAATAATAAAATGTGTGTTATCAGTTTATTAGTCAGTTTTGTGAGTTTATTAGTTTTTGTTGTTTATTTGTCTTTGTTAACTTTCATTATTTGTTATTATTTTTTATTTCAGTTTTAGTTTAATTGTTTTATTTTTTGATTTAGTCATTTTAGTACTTCAAGTCAGGGTTATTATAGTTCTTTAAAACTAAAACCAAAACCATAAAAAAAAAGTTACCTGAAAAAAAAAAAAAATCAAGTGAAATCAAATAAAATGTATATATATTTTTATATATTTCGCATTTTCATTTGGTTTAACTTGATGTACTAAAATAACTAAAACTAACACTATTGAAAAAAAATATATACTACATAGACATTTAAAAAAAAACTAATAAAAATGACAAAAACATGCAACAAAATTACTTAAACTTTAACTAAAATTAACATGAAAGCGGAAAATATAAGAATAAAAATATTTTAAAAAATTATAATAGTATGTCACATACAACAGTTAACCTAAAAAATTAGAAATGTTGACTTGGCAATTAACTGAAATTAAAAAAAACTTTAAAAAAAATATTTTATTTTAGTTAACATTTATTTTATTTCAATGCAACATTTTTAGTTTTAGTTAACGATGGTAACACTGGTCCAAGAGAGGGTGGAAACAAATACAATCCTCACAAGTTCATGTGTCCAAACTCGTCCTGCAGCGTCAGCAGCAGCTCTGACAGCTCCTCCCCACAGGAAGAGGAAGAGGAGGAGCTACTGCTGTGATTGGTGGAGGGGGCGTGTCCCAGCACCCGCTCGTTACACAGCTGAGGATGATGCTGCTTCATGAGATGAAGGACGTGCTGGACGTTTGCTCGCACAGAGTGACTCGAGCCTGTCGACTGAAGACACACAGACTCGTTAACATCCACAATACTGCTCCATATCAAACATGCTCTGATTTGTCATAAAAAATAACTTCAAATGTAATGGTAGGGACAGTATAAGGGTCAGAAATGATCATGAAAAACCAAAAAAAATAAAAAAATCCATGATTAACGTGGGAATAAAATCAAATGTTATAGTGTAAAACACTATGTTTGTGTCTTTACCGTCCCGGTCACAAACGGCACGTCTCCCAGACTGAGTCTGTAATGCGGCTGCGACTGCGACGGATGTTTCTGCAGAAACACAGGAGAATTCACACATGAGCAGCTCATCTCAGATGCTTTACAGATTTAAATGTTAGCCGTTTTTTTCTATTACAAGATTAAAATATCAGTCAGTTTTGTTATATAACAACATTGAAATATCGGTCGGTTGTGTTCTATTATGAGATTGAATATCGGTTAATTTGGTTCTATAACAACATTGAAATGTATTCTATTTTGTTGTATTACAAGATTAAAATATTGGTCAGCTTTGTTCTATAACAACACTGAAATATCAGTAGCTTTTGTTCTATATTACAAAAATTAAATGTCAGTTGGTTTTGTTCTTTAACAATATTGAAATATCGGTCGGTTGTGTTCTATTATGAGATTGAAATATCGGTTGATTTGGTTCTATAGCAACATTGAAATATATTCTATTTTGTTGTATTACAAGATTAAAATATTGGTCAGTTTTGTTCTATAACAACATTGAAATATCAGTAGCTTTTGTTCTATATTACAAAAATTAAATGTCAGTTGGTTTTGTTCTTTAACAACATTGAAATATCGGTCGGTTGTGTTCTATTATGAGATTGAAATATCGGTTGATTTGATTCTGTAACAACGTTGAAATATAATCTATTTTATTGTATTACAAAATTAAAATATTGGTCAGTTTTGTTCTACACTGAAATATCAGTTGCTTTTGATCTAAATTACGAAAAATTAAATATTGTTTGGTTTTGTTCTGTAACGACATTGACATTGATCTATAACGACTACAATTTCATCTGGTTTTGTTCTGTTACAAAATTTTAATATCGGTTTTTGTTCTATTAAAATATTTAAATATGTCAGTCTGGTTCTATTACAAGATTTAAATATCGGTCGGTATTGTTCTATTATGAGATTTAAATACTGTTCATTTACTTTTATAACAACGTTGAAATATCGGTCAGTTTTGTTCTGTTGCAAGATTGAAATATCGGTTAATTTGGTTCTATAACGACATTGAAATGTCATCTGGCCAACAAAATTTAAATATCATTTTGTTTTGTTCTACTCAAATATTTAAAGATCACTCAGTTTTGTTCTATTACAGTTTTTTTCTAAACAGTTTTGTTCTATTACGAAATGTAAATATCGGTCAGTTTTGTTATATTACAAAATGTAAATGTTGTCCAATTTTGTTCTATTACAAAACTGAAATAGTCAGTCAGTTTTGGTCTATTATGAGATTGAAATATCGGTCAGTTTTGTTCTATTATGAGATTTAAATATTGGTCATTTTTGGTCTGTTATGAGATTAAAATATTGGTCAGTTTTGTTCTATAGTTTAATTGTTTTATTTTTTGATTTAGTCATTTTAGTACTTCAAGTCAGGGTTATTATAGTTCTTTAAAACTAAAACCAAAACCATAAAAAAAAAGTTACCTGAAAAAAAAAAAAAATCAAGTGAAATCAAATAAAATGTATATATATTTTTATATATTTCGCATTTTCATTTGGTTTAACTTGATGTACTAAAATAACTAAAACTAACACTATTGAAAAAAAATATATACTACATAGACATTTAAAAAAAAACTAATAAAAATGACAAAAACATGCAACAAAATTACTTAAACTTTAACTAAAATTAACATGAAAGCGGAAAATATAAGAATAAAAATATTTTAAAAAATTATAATAGTATGTCACATACAACAGTTAACCTAAAAAATTAGAAATGTTGACTTGGCAATTAACTGAAATTAAAAAAAACTTTAAAAAAAATATTTTATTTTAGTTAACATTTATTTTATTTCAATGCAACATTTTTAGTTTTAGTTAACGATGGTAACACTGGTCCAAGAGAGGGTGGAAACAAATTCAATCCTCACAAGTTCATGTGTCCAAACTCGTCCTGCAGCGTCAGCAGCAGCTCTGACAGCTCCTCCCCACAGGAAGAGGAAGAGGAGGAGCTACTGCTGTGATTGGTGGAGGGGGCGTGTCCCAGCACTCGCTCGTTACACAGCTGAGGATGATGCTGCTTCATGAGATGAAGGACGTGCTGGACGTTTGCTCGCACAGAGTGACTCGAGCCTGTCGACTGAAGACACACAGACTCGTTAACATCCACAATACTGCTCCATATCAAACATGCTCTGATTTGTCATAAAAAATAACTTCAAATGTAATGGTAGGGACAGTATAAGGGTCAGAAATGATCATGAAAAACCAAAAAAAATAATGATTAACGTGATTAACGTGGGAATAAAATCAAATGTTATAGTGTAAAACACTATGTTTGTGTCTTTACCACAAACGGCACAAACGGCACGTCTCCCAGACTGAGTCTGTAATGCGGCTGCGACTGCGACGGATGTTTCTGCAGAAACACAGGAGAATTCACACATGAGCAGCTCATCTCAGATGCTTTACAGATTTAAATGTTAGCCGTTTTTTTCTATTACAAGATTAAAATATCAGTCAGTTTTGTTATATAACAACATTGAAATATCGGTCGGTTGTGTTCTATTATGAGATTGAATATCGGTTAATTTGGTTCTATAACAACATTGAAATGTATTCTATTTTGTTGTATTACAAGATTAAAATATTGGTCAGTTTTGTTCTATAACAACATTGAAATATCAGTAGCTTTTGTTCTATATTACAAAAATTAAATGTCAGTTGGTTTTGTTCTTTAACAACATTGAAATATCGGTCGGGTTTGTTCTATTATGAGACTGAAATATCGGTTGATTCGGTTCTGTAACAACATTGAAATGTAATCCATTTTGTTGTATTACAAGATTAAAATATCGGTCAGTTTTGTTCTATTATGAGATTTAAGTATCGGTCAGTTTTGTTCTATAGCAACATTGAAATGTATTCTATTTTGTTGTATTACAAGATAAAAATATTGGTCAGTTTTGTTCTATAACAACATTGAAATATCAGTAGCTTTTGTTCTATATTACAAAAATTAAATGTCAGTTGGTTTTGTTCTTTAACAACATTGAAATATCGGTCGGTTGTGTTCTATTATGAGATTGAAATATCGGTTGATTTGATTCTGTAACAACGTTGAAATATAATCTATTTTATTGTATTACAAAATTAAAATATTGGTCAGTTTTGTTCTACACTGAAATATCAGTTGCTTTTGATCTAAATTACGAAAAATTAAATATTGTTTGGTTTTGTTCTGTAACGACATTGACATTGATCTATAACGACTACAATTTCATCTGGTTTTGTTCTGTTACAAAATTTTAATATCGGTTTTTGTTCTATTAAAATATTTAAATATGTCAGTCTGGTTCTATTACAAGATTTAAATATCGGTCGGTATTGTTCTATTATGAGATTTAAATACTGTTCATTTACTTTTATAACAACGTTGAAATATCGGTCAGTTTTGTTCTGTTGCAAGATTTAAATATCGGTTGATTTGGTTTTAGAACAACATTGAAATGTCATCCAGTTTTGTTTTATAACAATGAAATATCGGTTGGTTCTGTTCTATTACGAGATTTAAATCGGTCAGTTTTGTTCTGTTGCAAGATTGAAATATCGGTTAATTTGGTTCTATAACGACATTGAAATGTCATCTGGCCAACAAAATTTAAATATCATTTTGTTTTGTTCTACTCAAATATTTAAAGATCACTCAGTTTTGTTCTATTACAGTTTTTTTCTAAACAGTTTTGTTCTATTACGAAATGTAAATATCGGTCAGTTTTGTTATATTACAAAATTTAAATGTTGTCCAATTTTGTTCTATTACAAAACTGAAATAGTCAGTCAGTTTTGGTCTATTATGAGATTGAAATATCGGTCAGTTTTGTTCTATTATGAGATTTAAATATTGGTCATTTTTGGTCTGTTATGAGATTAAAATATTGGTCAGTTTTGTTCTATTACAAAACTGAAATAATCAGTCAGTTTTAGTCTATTATGAGATTGAAATATCGGTCAGTTTTGTTCTATTATGAGGTTTAAATATCGGTCATTTTTGGTCTATTATGAGACTAAAATATTGGTCAGTTTTGTTCTATTACGAGATTTAAATATCTGTCGTTTTTTCAGTTATAAGATTTAAATATCAGTTGTTTTTTATTACGAGATTTAAATATTGGTTGGTTTTGTTCTATGCAAGAGGGTATAATTCTCAAAAGCATCAATAATGATACCATGAGTTTGTCTGATGTGAAAATTAGCCGGATGTCAAAGAGCCTAGGGTTGCAAATTTCCGGTAAATTTCCTGAAACTTTCCAAAAATCCCTGGAATATTCCCAAAAAATCATGGAAAGTTTCCATAATTTCTGGAATGTTTCCGAAATTTACTGGAAATTTTCCACGTTTTTGCAACCCTAAAAGAGCCTAGTGTGAATTTAACATTAGCAGTCATTTAAGCGATGATGTTGAGAAATATATCATATGGCTTTAAATTTAATTAGTAACATCTCAGATTTCAAGCAGGATTACTATATTGTGATGTTATTTCTTACTGCAGTTGACATCATATCCCCACCTCTTAAGTAGTTTGTATTAAGTAAATGCGTTAGAGGAATCAGATCTGTCGGTGCTCGTTTACCTTTGCTGAGAGCTTCTTTGGTTTGATTCTGCTGGATTTATGTGGACGTGGAGACACAGACTGGATGAGCAGACGATTGGCTTCTAGACCCGTCTGCAACTGACCACAGAACAGATAGACACAGTTAACATCACGATGCATCGTGGATTGATTCTGAGATTTTCGGAATGCATCGCAATTCTCTCTGGAATCGATTCTGCAGATGCAGAACAGCAGATGGCGCTCTAGGCTAGTTTTTAACTGCACACTCAAATGCTCACGAAGAAGAGCTCTTGTGCGTTCGGCTGAGTCATGTAAGAGGTTAAATGTACTTGCATCTTGGCTTTTATGCTTTTATGACGCAAGATTAATGTAAACACAGCCCACTATGAACACCCTTGTAATTCGCTTCAACCTTTTCAAACTGTATGAATGATTATTTTATGTTCAAGTGTATGCATACTGCTGCTCTCCTTCTAGTCACTATTGAACTCTTCCCTCTCTTGATTAAAGCTGCAGGTGAAGCGTTGCCAGTTATCACAAAAAAAAAAAGCTCACAAAATATCTCTTTCAAGTGTAGAAATTAGGAAAGAAGTATTGTAATTTCCCTACTGTAGTGTAAAGCAAAAATAGTACTCCTATGAAATATTAATTTTCATTTATCTTACAGCGCAATTGTTAATATATGGCTATATTACTGTCATTGTTGTTGTTATTATTATACTATTCTAATTTGTTTGGCTTCCTAAAACACCAGTGTGAATGTAATTTAAGACTGAGACGCTATATCACAAATAAAAAGAGGGTTGAGTCCCTTTAAAGTTCAGGTACGAGACTTTTTTCTGACTTGGTTAAGAACATGGGTTGGAGCTCTTTATTTTGAACTCTCAAAGTGCATTAGATAGCGTAATTTAACTTTAAAATGTACAAAATTAAAAAATGTTCCAATTCTTCATTTGTCTTTTTTTTTTTTAAATATCGCAATAAATATCGTATCGTGGACTACTTAATATCGCGATATTATCGTATCGTGAGATTTGGATATTGTTACATCCCAAAGAATCATTAATCTATTGGCGATGCATCGATTTATTGTTCCAGCCCTAACTGACAGAGAGACGAACCTGAGCTGCTTTGTCCTGCACCAGTTTCCTCTGATGCTCCTCTTCCTGTAGTTTCCTCTCCAGCTGTCTGATCTTCCTCTCGGCGGCGCTCTGAGTCTCCGTCAGCCGATAATACTCCTGCTCCAGCAGATCCAGCTTCTGCAGCTTCAGCTGAACATCGGCCCAGTCCGCTGAACCCAGACGCTCCAGAGACACCTGCACAACACACACAGCATATTAACACACACACACACACACACCTGGTTGCAGCGGGTTCTGTGTGTGTGTGACGCACCTGTCGGCGCAGCACAGCGCTTCTGTCCGATTCGGTGTTTCTCACAGTCTTCCTCATGTGCTCCAACTGTTTCTCCAAGCGTGAGCATCGAGTCTCGGCCGCAGACAGCTGAGAGAGCAGATCTACACAGACAGACATTTTACTGTACATTTACTGTAAATGTAAGGCTGGGAATAAAGATCTGTGTCAATCGTGGTAAACTAAAGCTATTAAAAATAATTTCCGGCAACTGAAATAAAGCTGAAATAAAATTTAAAAAATAAACATTACATGAAAAACGTAAACTTAAAATGTTACCTTGGCAACTAAAATTACTAAAAAAATAAATATATTATTAAAAATAATTGTAAAACATTATTATAATAAAAATGCATGTAACCAAAAGCATGTAACAAAATTAGTACAACTTTAAAAATAAAAGTTAAGAGTACAATATAAATGTTACATGAAAACATTTAAAATGTTGCCCAAGTAACTGAAATAAAATAACCAAGTTGAAGTACTAAAATCACTAAAACTGAATTAAAAATGTACCTGTATTGAATTATTATATATAAACATAATTTATGTAAATGATTTATTTAACTTAATATAAAAAATAAAAAAAATCCAAAAAACTAAGAATTAATAAAAATGCCACATAACAAAATCAATAAAACTTACTCTAAAATTAAATGTAAAAGATAAATATTAAAAAAAAAATGCTTATATAAAATATAAAAAATAAATAAATGCTTATTAATATGAAAATTACATTTTTTTATTTTATTTTAGTAAAAAATAGAAAATAAAATGTTGCCTTGGCAACTAACTATAATATAATATAACTAAATATTTAATATATATTAGAAAAGTAATACAATTTTAAAAAGCACATCATTACTAAAAGTTCAATTTAAATGTTATGACACACAGCTCTATCTTTCTTTTCTACTAGACAACCTGACAATTTTTCAAGCGACAGCTGAAAACTCACCTCTTTCGTCATTATCTGACTTCATCCTAAAAAATAAAAAAATATCTTTTTCTCTTTTCTTTAATCTTTCTCTGTCTAGCTTGTACTTATTTGAACAATGCTTGAAACTTTGTATGACGAGCACTTCCTGTGTCTGTCTGCCTCTTTAAGTCTGCTAAATGAATAAATGTAAATGTAAAGTATTGAAAATATGAGTGAATACTATAACAGCACATAAATAGCACTGGTGTCAGGAGTGTGTGTGGATGAAATCACAAGCTCACCGTGGTTTGTGTGTCTGTCGTGGTCTCTGTGGTCAGAGTGTGTGGATTCTCTGGAGATGGTCTGGAGCTTCTGCTGAGCATCACATCGCTCCAGCTCCAGATGACGGATCTTCTCCTGCAGGTTCTTCAGCGCAGAAAGAATGGCTGCAAAAACACACCAGTTCAAGGAGTTCTGCATCTAGATGTGATTTATTCAGCTCACACTGGCCCAATGCCACAGCCACAAAACAGCATTCACATATGAAAAGGTCAGCCAATCAAAAGAGAGCTCATTTACATACAGAAGTCTTCAAGAGGCAAAATGTTAATTGCAAGCGACTGAATCTGAATCTAAACTCTCCAGCAGGTGGAGCTGTTTTGTTAAAGTTTTAGTATTTTAGTTGTTTTTTGTTATTTTTAGTTTTTTTTTTTTTATGTCTATAGTTTTATTAAAGTTTACTTTAGCTGTTTTTGTATATCAAGATAACTTTTGTGGGGGGTTTTTGTGTCACTGAGACACTAATATTGTCTTTTTAAAATATTTTAAAATAGTTTTTATTTTCATATTTTCCATTATTATTTTAAATAGTTTTTGCAGCTTTGTAGTGTGTTTCGTTGTTTAATTATTATAGTACATCAAGTTTATTTAAATGAAAATGAGAAATACTTTGCCTAAATAAAGTAAGTTTACATTTATATTAAAAACATATGTACATAAAATATAAATAAAAATACTTGAAATAAAATAATGCAAAAATAAAAAATTACTTGAAATAAACGTTAACTGAAAAAAATATATGTATATATTTTTCAGTTAACGTTTATTTTATTTCAAGCTATTTTTATGGTTTTAGTTTTAGTATAATAACCCTGCTTTGCAATGATTTATTTATGAGGTTCTGAATTCATCACATCTTTGCTGTTTTAACTTGTAAAATTTACCTGTTCAATTTTTTATTTAATCTTAACTATCAGTGTCAAGTTACACTGCATTTTAACTTAAATAAATAAAATGAATTAATTAATACATATTTTTAAAATACTGTCATTTTATGTCTGAAAATTTTAGACTAAAAACACAGACGTTTTCTGGCATGTTTAAGTAACTCGCTCAAACGTCACACAGTCTATATTGCGAGCCGAAGCACTGAATTATTCATGAGTGCCGCAAACAGCTGTCAATCACTCTCCATACGCACGAGTCTCGTGTCATCAGTGCATCTGAGTGTGTGAGATCTCAAGTGTCACAGTGTGTGTGTCTGTGAGTGTGAGTGTGTGTGTGTGTGTGTGAGAGGGAGCGTGAGCGTGTGTGTGTGAGAGTGAGCGTGAGCGTGTGTGTGTGTGTGTGTGAGTGTGTGTGTGTGAGTGTGTGTGTGTGTGTGTACCTGCACCGCTGCTCTCAGGAAAGGCTTTGACGGCTCTGTTAGTGAAGGGCAGGGATGTGTTAATGAAGGGACGTCCCGCAGGATACTCGGAGTAAGAGGCCAGAGACACGCTGTCAGACATCGGTCGGCCTCTGAGGGGCGCCGTCACACCCTCCTGTGACACACAGCACAAACACACACACTACAAACATGACTGCCTCGATTTGATTTTATTAAATGTATGCGGGAGAAACGCTGTAAATTAAATTGCTAATAATTAGTACTTGCTTGAATAAAATGCATGAGACTAAATAATGAAAAACAGTGTTAGAAATTAAATAAATAATATGCCATTAGTCAGTCTAGTGAATTCTGATGTAATGCATATACAGTTTAGTATAAATGACATGTTTTTTTGTTTTAGTTTATTGGCTTTTTTAGTTGTTAATGCAAAAAGCCTTTTCTAAAGAACAAAAACTTCCCTTAGGTTATATTTTTACATGCATGTATTTCTATTGGCCTTTCTCTTTCTCATTTTGGATTGATTTTAAAATGGACATTACATTTATTTTTATTTATTTTTTACAAAGGTTTTACGTTAAGTGCTTATACAATATTTTGCTTTATAAGATTAAATTACAACTTTAATCTTAATTATTACATCAAAGTTTTACATTCGCAAGACAAGAATAACATAAAAAAGCATCATATATTACAAAGTTCTGTATGTTTACTCTGTACTTGACTGTTATTACAATACGTCAACTAAATACAACTTAAAAAGTGTGTTTTGGGTTTGTATGTTTTGTTTTAAACTCTTCTAGGTTTATAAATGAGTTTTAAATCCAGTTCAAAAACCACAAATCATCATTTAAAGCAGCAGAAGTGATCAAAAACAGGAAGTTTAGCCGGAAGTTAAAGCCAGCTTTACTATAATATTATTACAGTTTGATTTTAACGATCATTAATTCAAACCCAGCGTTCATCTGAATACATTATGGTTAAATGAAACAACATTATTCTAAATTAAATATATGACGCGTAATGTTTATTTCGATAGTTTGATGTCGCGTGATCTGTTTTAACGTTAAAGCTGTTGAAAGTGTGAATGTTGAAGATATTTTTTACCTTTTCTCGTCCCGCGGAGGGTTTTGAGCTCGAGTCCATTCAAATGCGGGTTTAATCTTAGATCATGTTTAATTAAAGTACACTCACATTTTATAACCTTTAGTTCTGTTTGTTGTGAATTCGTTGTTTGGTGCAAACAGGAAACAAAACACAAGCGCGCAAAGCAGAGGCTGTGAAGTCGGCGATGACAACATCCGGACTGCAGATTACAAAATAAAAGTCACGAGTCGTGAACTATAATATTTTAAAGTGATGTACAATGTTTATGTTATTGAGTTAATGGAATTATAATCATGTAAATATTTTGAATTATAAGTTTTTATTAGTTCAATTGAAAAAAAAAAAAAGATATAAAAATACATTACATACATGCATGTCTTACGGAACCGGAAGCGATGACATCCAACTCTGGTTTCCATAGACGCGTCCACATCAGATTTCATAGATATTTGTTGTCTATTTGAGTATCTGCTTAAGAATTAGTAGTAAACTGTTTATAAGCTCTATTTCGCATACGTGCTTTTCAAAATAATACATTATATAATGGAAGATCACATAGAAATGACGTCACACACGTTGCTATGGCTTGAGTGTTGCTTAGCGACTGACGGAAAAAGTTAAAAGTCCCAATATTTGTATTTAAATTCAACACGTAAATACTGTGTAAATTCTATCTGTCACTTTTTTTCTATTAAAAAAATTTAAAGAAAGATCTCAGTTGTTGCATATGATTTTGTTTTATTCCAAACATGGATTATGGAGAATTCAGCATTTTCCAGATCTTCACTGAACGCTGTTTTACTTCTCTTGGTTTTGTATGTTTTCGAACTTTTTAACAGCAAACATGCTTTATTTGACCTGTACATTTTTTTTTTTTTACTTTCATATAATTAATCTATACAAAGTTACTCTTTCATCTTCCACGGGCAAAAACATGTTCATTTCTTCACACTGGAGAGGCTGCAGTTGCATAAATGTTTGTTTGGATTTGACAGAAATGTTGGGTTCTTTTTAAGTCCAAAAGATCATCACAAAAAAAAAAAAAAGTCAGATCTGAAGATCACATGACATAATCACATCAGGAGCATAAACTCTAATTTTTATCTCAAAAATAAGTTGTCATCTGTCTCAAATATTCCGCTCATTATCCCAGAATGCCATGGGGTCTCTGTCCTGAGCGGAAAACAACATAAAGGTGAAAAATTATGCGTCTGAGACAAAATCAGTCTGTCTGTTCCAGATCTGGACGAGAAAGTCATGAAACCTTTTATCACATTAAAAATACAATCTGAGAAAAGCTCAACACAGAATCATACGGGAAGCTTGTTTCCACCATGGAATAAAGATATTTAATAAAGTCATTGCGACTTATCTCACAATTAGGACTTTTTTTTCCCTCACAATTCTCAGAATCGTGAGATATCAACTCAAAATAGTGAAATATAATCGCAGAATTGCGAGATATAGTGTAAACGTGAAAGTGTGAGGAAAAAAGTCCAAACTGTGAGATAAAAAGTCACATTATTTTGTAATTTTAATTAACTAATATTTTTTATTTTGTGGTGGAAAAAAAAACTGAAATGCAAGATATAAACTCAAACGTCTGAATCGTGAGTTTTGTGGTGGAAAAAAAAACTGAAATGCAAGATATAAACTCAAAAGTCTGAATCGTGAGAAAAAGTTTGAATTGTGAGAAAAACGTCTGAATTATGAAAAAAATGTCAGAATTATGAAAAAAATGTCAGAATTATGAGAAAAAATTGTGAATTGTGAGATGAGTGATTTATGAGAAAAAAAAAGGCAAGTGCGAGATGTAATCTTAGAATTATGAGGAAAAAGTCTGAATTACAAGAAAAAAGTTAGAATTACAAGAAAAAAAGTCAGAATTGGGAGAAACAAGTCCAAATGACAAGAAAAAAATTCTAAAGTATGAGGGGGAAAAAGTCTGAATTGTGGGAAAAAAGTTGAAATTGTACGATGCAAACTCAGAATTACAAGGACAAAAAATTTAAATTACAAGACAAAAGTCAGGATTGCGAGAAAAAGGTAAAGATGTAAACTCAGAATTTGAAAAAAGTCAAAATGTTGAGATGTAAACTCAGAATTGCGAGTTTGTAACTTGGAAATGCACTTTAGAGAAAAAGGCATAATTGTGAGAGAAAAATATGCAATTACATTTTTTGACCCTGGACCACAAAACCCGTCATAAGGGTCAATTTTGTGAAATTGAGATTTATGCGACTTAAGACTGCTTTTGTGGTGCAGGGACACATATATTTTTTCCATGGCAGAAACGGGTTTCCACAGAATCAACATACAGGGGCAACGTGAAATCAGTGTATTTCGATTCGTCTCCTCTGTCAAGCTGACGACGGTCACCTCAGCAGCCGATTCTACTTAAAAACACTGAACATGTCTGACAAAACACTTCATATCAAAACATCAACATGCCTACAGTACAGGACCGTCTCACACTCACACACTCTCTCACTCACACACACACTCACACACACGTACACACACACACGCACACACACCTCATCACGCCTGATTCGACACACTCTGCATCCGGATATAAAAATAAAGATTTCAAAGAAAGATGGGTGTGAAATATGGCGCGTGTCGATGAGCACGAGTTGATTTCTGATCACTAAAATGCTATAAACATCAATCGGCGTGGGAGCAGCTCGGAGCAGTTCGTCATGGAAACGAGGGCGATGAGGAGACGCTCAGGGGTTAAAGGTCACCAGACGGCGCATTTGTTGACCGGATGCATGGGTGACCCTCTGGGACAGTGAAACACGCGACTGAACTCCTCGAACTGAGACACGCTGCCAATCACCCTGCAGACAGACCATAACCCCAGAACACAGAGATAATGAATCCCTAATCATCAACATCAGTAATATATATATATATATATAAAAATACACACATTTGAATCAAAGTCATATTCACGGATACTGAAAACCAAAACCAAAAAAAAAATTCTTATTTTAAATAAAATAAATGTTAACTTGAAAAAATTAAATATAACAAAACAATTTAATTCACTTTATTTCAGCCAGTTACCAATGTCTCATTTTTATTTAGTTGTTCATTTAGTAAACGATGTAAAAATAACCTAAATTAAAACTGAAATAAAAATGAATTAATAATAATAATAATAATAATGACAAAAACACAAAAAATCTAGAACTTTCAGTGAAGGAAAATATATATAAAAAACTATTAAAAATATTAAGAAAAACTATAGTATTATCTCAGTGATACTTAAATAACATAATTAATATTTCAGTATCAGATATACAAAGATGGATAATTTAGAATAATTAAATTTTTATTTACTAAAATAACCTAAAACTGAAAAAAAAAAAATATATATATAGACACATTAAAAAATAATATAATATAATATAATATAAATTATAGAAACACAAAAAATCTAGAACTAAATGTAAAGATGAAAAATGGAAAATAAAAATATTTAAAATTATTAATAAAAATAATTCAAAATATCAATAAAAACTGTAATATTCTCAGTGATACTAAAATAACACTGGTCATACTTAAGTATCAGATAAACAAGGATGAATCATTTAAAATTAGTGAACTGCTTTAAGTATTTATGAATTGGATATAAACATGCCTTAATTACACTAATGCACTAATTTATTTGGTTATGTAATTATTTACTTTCTTTTATTTCTGCTTTAATTATTTTGTCTGTTTTATTTTTGCTTGATTGAGTTTAACAGCCTTATATTGAAATTATTTCTTCTGAAAAATTAAATACACATGCCAACATGTAACGCTATATCTAATTATTTCAACGTGCAGAATTAATGAGCTGTTAAGCATAATGCAAAACAATAACAACCGAAGAATGGCATTATATACTGTAGTTACCAGCAAATCGGTTTCTAGATAGAGCTTGGTTTGTAGTAGTAATGTTTGACTTATTAAATGTTTCTAATGAGGAATATTAATTGTGTTAGCTGTGTATTACCTGTAATGTTCAGGTGCGTGTTTATCCGTCAGCAGCTGCAGGTAAATCGACTGCGACCGTCTCTTCATACACCAGTTCTGTGATGCAATGTGTAGAAAACATTTCAGAGCAGCTGAATATGACTGAACCAGTACTAACTAACAGTGCTGGGGGTAATGCATTACAAGTAACGCGAGTTACGTAATCAGAACAGTATTTTTTAAGTAACTAGTAAAGTAACACATTACTTTTTAATTTACAAGAAAATATCTGAGTTGATGCAAATGTGCAATAGTTAAATGGTAAATAACACAAATATCCTTTATGCATTTAATCCTATTTTATTAACCAATGTCTTTGCAGCTGAGCTTCGATTATCAAATTCAATCATACTAATAAGCAAAAATCACTTTAGATAAACCAACATTCGTTCTTAATTTTTTTTTATTGCCGAAGAGTGTTGAACGTTCTTCTCCTGCGTTCTGCTGTACAGACGTGAATTTACTTTTCCTTCAGCCTGAGGCTCATTCATTTCACTTTTTGTTGTGAAAGGACTTTTACATTTACCAGAAATAGAACTTTTTATATTAAAAACAAACAAGCAAGCCCAACCCAGATTTAAAAAGTAACACAGCTGTGTATTACCTGTAATGTTCAGGTGCGTGTTTATCCGTCAGCAGCTGCAGGTAAATCGACTGCGACCGTCTCTTCATACACCAGTTCTGTGATGCAATGTGTAGAAAACATTTCAGAGCAGCTGAATATGACTGAACCAGTACTAACTAACAGTGCTGGGGGTAATGCATTACAAGTAACGCGAGTTACGTAATCAGAACAGTATTTTTTAAGTAACTAGTAAAGTAACACATTACTTTTTAATTTACAAGAAAATATCTGAGTTGATGCAAATGTGCAATAGTTAAATGGTAAATAACACAAATATCCTTTATGCATTTAATCCTATTTTATTAACCAATGTCTTTGCAGCTGAGCTTCGATTATCAAATTCAATCATACTAAGCAAAAATCACTTTAGATAAACCAACATTCGTTCTTAATTTTTTTTTATTGCCGAAGAGTGTTGAACGTTCTTCTCCTGCGTTCTGCTGTACAGACGTGAATTTACTTTTCCTTCAGCCTGAGGCTCATTCATTTCACTTTTTGTTGTGAAAGGACTTTTACATTTACCAGAAATATAA